GAGAAGCCCTTGAGAGTCCTTATCAGCTTTTTCATGCATTTATGATAAAATAATATGGTCTTCAATTTGCATAATTACCTGCTTCATCACAACACGATATTGTTTCAGTGATGGAGGAAGGCAGAGGCTGTCAAGCTGCTCAAGGCCAGCTATGATTGTTTCAGACAACTGCCAGTAAAAAAACAAAAAACTGGGACACGGTGTACAGACCTGCTCTGCCTCTGAGAGAATATTTCACTTACCAGACAGAAGGATCTATTCATATTCCACTTGGCATCATAGTATTTTCTAAGAATTTAATAAGCAAGATGGATGCATAGATGGAGCTGTGTTCTCCACACGCTCTGAGATGAAATGCTGTGTTTCAGAGTACGATCTAAATATTAATAAGATCCAACGCCAAAGGCAGAATTTTAAAGGATGTTCACTTATCTGCCTTGTTAATTATCATGCCACAATTGTTAACTTCACATGTCTGCCTGCGCGGGAAGCAGGAATCATTAGCAGTCAGCGCCACTGCTTCGTTCTGAGTCGCTTCTAAAATTAGCTCCTTGTGATGGGACACACGACACACTGTACACAGGCTGTTACCGCCACAAACAGCTAAGTTTGCTCGATAGGAGAAATTCTATTAATAAAGTCAACAGAAATGGGCGCATATGAAGGCAGGCAGGCGGTGTTGTCATGTGAGGCTGGTCGTTAGTGAGACGCTCTCAGAGAGACGGGAGCTGTCCTCGGTGCTGAATCAGCCACCCATGCCGGGCTGCCGGTGCTCCCTCTGGACCGTCTCGTCGCCTATGCTTTAATATTCTATGGTATACTTTTATTGCCTTCTGCATTCATTTCAGCACAAGCAAGGGAGCTATATGAGCTGCTAATTATGTGTTTTGAGCATTTGATTGGATTTATATTCGAGTTTGACCACATTTTCCAGCTTTTGGTTTACTAAGAATGTGGCACAGCTGTCACCTTGAGTTTCTACCAGTGATCAGGTATAACAATGTGTATTTATATGCAGCAATTTGGAAGAATTATCCAGGTACGGGGCTGGAATACACAGCAGAAAAGGTTGTTTTTGCTTGCCAAGAACAAATTAACCAAAACACAAGCATAGTCATGGAATTTAGTCTCCACACAATTTATCCTCATGTTGCATCAGTTCATGTCAAGCTTGATTCTGATTGTAGACAAAATGACATCCACTTATTGTTTCACTGTTTTTATCACTTCTGACTCGTGTAAATTCCTTGAGTGGTTGTGATTTTACACTAAGGGAACATACGTAATCAACAAATCAACAGCAGTAGATCAGAGACAAGCCAAAGGAAACAAACTGGATAAGAGAGAGAAACCCAATAAATACGTGTGTTTTTAGTGACAGGAGAAGGTTAATTTCTATGCATGAAAAACCTTGTTAAAGTCATACTATAAAAGCAGGCAATTACCAGCAAACTGTGCTTAAACATTAACAATAAAAGTCTCTGTTGTGCAGACAAATGGCCGCGCTATTGTTATGCTGCTGCATGGATGGAATGATTGTTCCTGGTGCACTAATGTGGAAGCATTTTATTGTTGTGACGGCGGAGCTAGAGCTGATTTCAATTACTACGTACACAGTCGGTTTGTTTAATCCGTAACGATGTGCTGCCGCGGTTCATAGGCACAACATTTATTATGTATGTTTCATTAACGTACAAAAGGCGTTAACTAAATATGGAACAGCAGAAAATACACTCATCAAAATACAGTTTAGAATTCCCCTGAAGACTCTGAAACAATCGGTGTTAAGATGCAACAGATGCATTTGTCCCTCCCAAGAAAAACATAAAAGAACACGTTTTTAAAAACATCTGTGGCTGTTTCCTCATAGATGCAACAACACCTCTGACAAAAGTTGGTGTTTTTCTGCATGTTAAACACGGATGTGTGTGCAATGCTCTGAATGTGCAAGAAGCTTTGAACATGAGTGGAACCGGCAACAAATATGAACTAATGAAGTCCAGGAGTTTATAAAAAGAAGTAAAATTACATCAAAAAGTGCCTCATGGACATTTAAAGAGGATTCTGCCCCAATCGAGAGACACAAAGGAGGACAGAGGAGTAAATCCAGTCTGTGTGCTGACTCAGCTGGATAACATGACATGAGAAAAGCTGATTTACAGAAGAGTCAATATTTGAAATAAATACAGAATGCCTAAAAGCCTTACAGCATTTGCATTTCAATTGTCATCTGGTGCCTGAATTTTGTGTTTTCCTTTACATTAATAGACTTTTAGCATAAATTGGTACGAATGCAGGAATTTAAGGGTTTGATGCAGAACGTTTCCAGCCTCCTGCTTAACATCCTCCCACCAACGTTCTACTGAAACCTATGTACACGTTTAAGACACTGATGCTCTGCAATCTTGTTGCTCTATCCTGAAAACATACATGTAGATAAATTAGATGGTCTTGGTTTTTTGTTTTCCATCTCCTTCCTGTTTCATTTTAATATCACCGTGTGTTGCTTGTGTGTTTCCTTCCTTCCTTTGTCTCTGTTTCCGTCCTCCTTTGATTCACCTGCGTCCTCAGTCAGCTGTCAGAGTAGAAATAATCTCGTCTTTCCGTCAGTCTTCGTCACTTCACCCTGTTGATCCCTGCGTTTCTGGCCTCACTCTTCTCCGAACCCTAACCCTCCTTTGTCTTGTTCTTTTTTGATTTCTATGGATTTTTTTTACGTTTTGTTCTCTTTGGATTATCGTCTTTATTTTTTGATTTATTTTCTTCTGGATCAGCGGTTACATTTTGGTCATTCACTGGTACCTCCCCACTAAGTTTCTTTACTAAGATTAGCCTGTCCTTTTCCACAACCTGCCTGCTGTCTGCTTTGTGTCTGTGCTTGTGTCTATTTCCTGCAAACTGTGACACGAAGAAGTCGTGACAGTGCAGTCCAGTGTAAAATGTCTAATTAAATGTCTGTAAGCGCAGTATGAAAGATACACACAGTCTAAAGAGCATAAACGGTGCATGTAAGCAAGCTATTCAAAAAGCCTCACCAGAACATGTCACAGGAGAAAGACTGTTCCTGCTTTACTTTTCAACGTCACTTCCTTTAACTTCAACACTTGGTTCACCAATGTTCAAGCGTTGCTGTTCTGTTGTGGAAGAAGGTCCAG